TTTGTCGCAGACACACAAAGACCATCATTTCATCCATGTAAGGCAGGGTGGGCTTTACTGGGTGGCGTCCACCAAGACAAACCCATCCCCCTTCACTATAATTGAGTTCCTTAACAGGTAAACACATCTTTATTTCATCAGTTACGCCATATTGTTTTTAATTATCATTACAGCTATTTGTTACCTGTGTAGATGGCATGATGATAAGCAACTGTTTTATGTCTCTCAGATTAGCAGCTCTTACCAAGGATTACTGTGGCAGTCTGTCAGAGAAATCAGTGCGGATGAATTTTGCTCTAATTTATGAGCTGCTGGATGAGATGGTGGTAAATGTTTTCACTCTTTCATTTTTGTTGTCATATCAAACAAATATGTCTTAAAAACACACCAACTCTGTATATCCTTCCTCTATGTCTCTGATCATCAGGACTTTGGCTACATACAGACGACCTCAACTGACATACTGAAAAACTTCATCCAGACAGAAGCTGTGTCATCCAAACCCTTCAGTCTCTTTGACCTCAGTAATGTTGGTTTGGTAAGTTATTGTTGTGTCGTTATGGTCTTTTATGGCATCTTGTTATGCTATGGCTTCTTGCTATTATTTTATTTTTCTCACTGTATCAATGTATTCTATGAGATGGTCACAGTTCTTGGTGGGGATCAGCCTCCGGTTGTCATGGTGATATTTGGGCATCTGAGAGGCAGGCCTCTTATTTGAGAACGACTGCTTTTAAACATTTTAATTTTCATATTTTGTAGTTTGGGGCTGAGACACAACAGAGTAAAGTGGCTCCTAGTGTTGCGGCCAGTCGTCCTATAATGTCCAGTCGAGGAGAGCAGGTGGGTTTTCCTAGATTCGTCAGTTTTACATGTTATCTGTGATGATCTTAGGAAATGAGTAAGAATTTTCTCTCTCTCTGGCTGCAGGGTGGACAGAATGAGATCTTTGTGGATGTAATAGAGAGGCTGTCTGTGGTTATTGGCTCCAATGTGAGTATAACTTGAATCATGTTTTGAAATAAAACTCCTAATTGCTTTCTTCCCTTAAATCGCTTGTCTTTTACATTTTATGCTTATTTTAAGGGAGTTTTAATGAAAGCAGATATTCAGGGAGAGTTAAGAATCAAATGCTTTCTTCCAACCTGTTCAGGTGAGTTGGCTACATCTTGCGGCCCATGTTAATGCAGATTGTGAAATGATCCTCCCTTCAATGATTGTATATTTCTTTTCTTCATCCTGTAGAGATGCGGATTGGACTGAATGAAGAGCTTAATATTGGAAAGTCGCAGCTGAAAGGTTGAGTATGCGACACTGATCATTACACATGCACTACACATATCTTTTATTAAAGGTGCAGTAAGTGATTTTTGAGAAAACAGTTGAAGTGGGTCAGACTAAAAGCCAGTAGGCGGCTTATAGACTCATGATGGGTAAGGAGAAGGTGAGCAAGACAAAAACTGTAGAAAGAGTTAGAGGAATATCACTGGAAAAAGACTGGTTAAGATCAGACAAGAGCTTTAGGACCCGCATTAATATTTGAAAAGGTTTCCAGTGCTGGAAAGATCAAAGCGGGAAGGCTTGAATATGGACACAGAGATTGTGTTGTTTGGAACGGCGTTAGGTAACATGTTATTTTTTCAGTAACGGGCCAATCTAACTAATTACTTTTCCGGTCTTTACAACGGCGTTAACGTTACTGGACGTTAAATGCGGTGCGTTACCACCAGGTTGGTTTGGAATGTGCTGGGGACAGAGACACATTCGGAAGTGCATTTTCAGAAGTGCTGGTGCAAACTTGTCAAACTGTGCTTCCTCTCTGCTCAACCCATAAATAAATCCATCGATCCGCAAAAGTTATTTGAGTTCTCAAATGGTCTAGCGGTAGATCTTTTGCCAAGCGTGTCAGAGGTTACGGGTTCTAATCCGTACTCGCGTACGATTTTTACGATTTCATCAAAACTGAATATGTTCATCAGTGGTTATAGTCTATATCAAGCAGGGACACGTTTGTGTGGATTTTATTTTGTGATTTATTTTATTTTAGGATTAGGGGCGGGGTTAGGGATCAGGGGGCAGAGATGGGTAGGTTTAGGTATGCGTAAGGTGGGAAGTTAGATATGGATCGAACTCCTCCCCCTGGATTTCGTGTTCTGCAGTGATGACCATCTTCATTTTGGAGCGGAGCAATGAAGGGAGGGGTGTGTTTGTTTGGGTTGATTTTGAATATCAACTCTGTTTCTCAGAAATGTCTTGCTAGACCTTTAAAAGTGTGATTAAATCTGTTTCCTTTTATTCTTCAGGCTATAGTTCAGCTGTGCGTGTAGATGAATGCAGATTCCACCAGGCTGTTAAACTGGATGAATTTGATACTTTCAGAATATTGAAAGTTTGTCCCAGCCAAGGAGAGGTAAATTGTTGCTACATACACAGAATTGCACTTTAGTGTAATTACTGCATGGATGATTAGTGATATTTTTTCCTCTTCAGCAAACAGTGATGCAGTATCAGCTGTGTGATGAGCTGCCGTGTCCACCACCATTCCAGTTATTCCCCTCTATAGAGAAAGATTATGTCAACAGGTGATGTATAATTCATTTAGTCCTTTTCATACAAAATGATTTACATTTAAATGATTTTTAATGCAATTGTGAATTAATTTTAATTTAATTTTAAATTAAGTTAATTTAAATAAAAATATTTTCAGTCGTTTATTTTCATTGTGATTTAAGACAACATGAGTGACAGAAGTTGAAGTGATTATTATTAATAATGAATTACTCTATTTATCAAAAAATTAGTGAATCTGTGATATTGCACTGTAATAAATGCTTTTTCTTTGCAGGGTGTTGATCTTCCTTAAACTGCGCTGTGATCTTCCACCTAAAAGGTTAGTCGAAATGCTGCATAGTGCATATAATGAGCCATACCTTAGATGAGTGTGAAAAATGGCATAATCCATCCATCAAAATATGTAAATAATAGCACACAGTTACATCACAAGTAATGTTCTTTCATTTTTTTTCTGCAGTACGGCCCTTAATGTTTCCATCACCGTGCCTGTGCCTAAAGGCTCTGTAAGGTCAGATTATGCATCGTCATGATTATTAGTGTAATTCGGTTTTATGGACCATGTATAGCCTCTTATGCTTCACCATCCTGTACAGTATGTCTCAGGAGCTCAGTAGTCCTGACCAGACTGCGGAACTGAAGCCGAAGAGCAAAGCCCTGCTCTGGGAGATCCCACGTTTTCCAGGAGGAGCGCAGTTGTCTGCACTGTTCAAGGTGATGTTATAATACAAATATTTGCTTGACGCAAATTGTCATCAGTCACTGAAAATGTATATTCTGATCCCACAGGTGGACGTTCCTGGTCTAAGCTCTGCCTCTTTATTGGAGGTCGGCCCTGTCAGTATGTCATTCGAACTGCCCAAACAAACCTGCACGGGCCTTCAGATCCGCTTTCTTCGACTCTCTCCAACTCAGACAGGACTGTCACAACGTTGGGTTCGGTATGTCACTCATTCTGACTCCTACACCATACGGATCTGACCCAACCAGATGGAACAAACATTTAATATGGACAGCACATCAATGGGAGTTGAATTAACCGCTTTGTGCTTCATCCATCCAGAGAAATGTATTATTATTATTTTGTTGGGAAATCAAATCAGTGATGATAAATGCATATGAACAGATTTACTGGTTTGTTCCTTTTATTTGTTTTATTTGAGAGAGAGTGAATCAACACATCTTTGGAGGTACAACAGTATTGTGTCCATAACAACTAAACAAAAAGTGAAACAGTATCCATTCCTGTGTTTTAAGGCAAATAAAATAAGCACATTGGTGTATAAATATAAAGTTGTGTTGTCGTATTTTTAATTAAACTTCATACATAAGCAGGTATAAGTGTATTCATGATGAGAAGCCAAAAAAAGGTCTAAATTATGAGATTAAATTCATGACATAAGGCAAAATTATTAAGAATTAGGATGTCATACCATAAGTCAGCAATTTTGTCATTTTCTCATCTCATAATTATGACTGTCTCAGAATTTCTCATAACTACATCATTTCACCATTTTGTGTATTTAGTAAAACTTTTGTATTCATAATTATGACAATATATCAATTCCTATATTTAAGCCTCACTTATGACTTAGTATGTCATTATTTTGACTATTTTGTCAATTTCATCTTTTTATGACATAGTTATGACCTAGATTGCCATATTTTTGACCTTATCGCATACTTGTACTTGACTCAGTATTTCATAACTGACTTTTGTATCTTATATTTATTATGATTTACTAAGGCATGTTTTTCTTATTTGGCAGAAAATGGCTTCATAGTTTCTCAGTGAAAAGTGGATGGTTTGTTTCTCTCTTCGCTTAGTTCTAAAATGCAGTCTGACATCTCATCTGTGTGCAGATCTGTCAAATTCCCTCATCCGTTTAATCCAGTGTGTTGTGAAACCTTTGCAGTGTTCTACCTTCAAGCTTAAATTATAAAGAAAATACAACCATCTTCCACATAAATGGCACACCCAGACAATGACTCGGGGTACGATCTTTCCTTTGATGCCGTCACACAATGCTACTAAATAAAAGGAAAAAAAAATAAAATAAAATACATCAAATGTTTGACATTTTATCAAAACTTGGAAGTACCTCACCATTCTCACTGCTGTATATTTTAGTTTGGGGAAAAAAAAAAAAATAATATATATATATATATATATATATATATATATACTATATATATATATATATATATACTGTGTATATATATATATATATATATATATATATATTGTGCGACTACATTAAATTTAGAGCGTTATTTATTTGTTAATTATATACTTATGGTATATTTTATCAATACAAATAAATAGATATGATTAATAAGTATAATTCAATAAGTATGTTAATAGATAAATAAATTATTGTGATTCTGACTCTGCCGTCTATCTACTGCTGCAACTCACGTGACCCTCCTGTAGCTCCGCCCACCGCCTGGGAGTGATTGAACACCTACAGGAGCTTCTGTTTACACTCTGTGTCATAGCTGTGTTTTCCTCTACAAATTCCCACAGCCAATTCCTCCCCTCATTATGGGGGACAAGGCAGGCACCCGGTGAGTATTCTTTAAAGCCTCAGGCATCAAAAAATATATTTTTTTGATCATTATTGTTCAAAATATGAAGCGAGCAGTAGGAAAGCTAATACTAGCTGGATTGTAAATGGACGTGGTTGAATAGCCTGACTGAGCATGATGGATAACCAGCACCTAATATACACGTTTATTATATTAAAAATGTTCAATCTTCATAATTGTGTTAGAAATGTCTTTTAAGCTTTTCCAAAGTCTTCATTAGAAGTCAGTTTATCCTTTAGCATTCATGTGACATAGCCAGGCAGCTAACAACAGCTGCTCATGTAAGGACTATGCAGAATTCTCATACTGCTCTTTCTAATGTTTTCATGAACAAAACAGTATTATTAGTAATGACATGCATGATCGTAGTATTACTGCACTTTGCGAGCAAGCAAACAAACAAGTTCTCCCAGTATGCCATTTGTTGCTCCACCATTTGTTTGCTCTTTTGGTTCTTGCCACCCGCTTCACTTTAAAAGGCTACTTCCCACCTATTTGTACAAAACGATCAGCTCCGATAATGTCTGTGATTATTCATGCATACATTTCTGTTGTTCAAAAGGGTATTCAAGAAGTCCAGTCCTAACTGCAAGGTAAAACCTTTCTCTAACACACTATCACAGTGTTGGTTTCCACAAGTTGTTGTTACAACCCTGTCTGTTTTCACAGCTTACAGTATACCTGGGGAAAAGGGATTTTGTGGATCATCTTGATCATGTAGACCCTGTTGGTAAGTGACTTAAGATAAAAAGTTCAGTTGTATTTAAATGGAGAAGAAAAGGTATTAGTCCACTGACATACAACATATTGTCCTTCTGCTACAGATGGTGTGATCCTGATCGAACCCGAATATCTCAAAGAAAGAAAAGGTGAGTCGGAAATTCTGACTGATACCGATAAGCCAATAATTATTTTAATGTCATGGCCGGTAAATCGAAAATAGTAAAATTAAATATTGTTTTGTCTCTAAATAATAAAAACCTACAAAATAAAATAAATAAATAAGTGTTTCAAATTATTCTTTAGCATCTCAAACATAAAGTACAGTATGAAAATTGAAATTTATTGTCTATAGATTACATTAACAGTGTTGTTAATTTAGTAGTGTTTTTAAAGATTTAAGTGAGCATTAGATGATGGGAAAGGTAATCTAAATGTAAGTTTAGGGAAATGAGTGTGCACAATTAAATTATATGATACTGATTATATTGTACATCCCAATTGTTCAGTTTTCCAGTTGATATCGGTATGTCTGTAAAGTTAATCTCATATACAATGTTTTTCCATACTTATCTCATGTTGCTTCACATCAAATGCAAATTATGTCCCACTTGTGGTGTTTCTCTAATAATCTCTTAATACTTTATTTGATCCTTTTTCCAGTGTTTGTGACTTTAACCTGTGCTTTCCGGTATGGCCGCGAGGACCTTGATGTTTTAGGGCTCTCCTTCCGGAAAGACCTTTACATCTTCACTTTTCAAGCCTATCCTCCTATTCCAGAGGAATCCAAGCCCCACAGCCGTCTACAGGAGAGACTTTTGAAGAAACTGGGCCAAAATGCCTATCCTTTCCATTTCACTGTGAGTTTCTCCCTGCCTTTAAGAACACAGGCTATTACTGCAGTTTATATTTGTTAGAGATGTCGAGAATATTATTTATTAAAATATATTAATTGATAATATATATAAATATCCAAAAATCACTTGCACAGTGTAATATATTTCCTGCAGTTGTGTACTTACAATATCTCAAAAGTTCCCAAAGGTTTTTAATTTCAGAGAAATTCCGATTTTAAATAATGGCTCGACCATGTTCACTTGTCGCCTGTTAATGACGTAATATCCGCGTTATCCCTAGTTTCCGCTCGTACTGCCATAGTAACCATGGCAACAGACGTGGACAAATGCGTTAGGTTTAGGTGGAAATATATTTTTCTGTTTTCCAGATACCTCAAAACTTGCCATGTTCAGTTACCCTGCAGCCCGGGCCTGAGGACACAGGAAAGGTATTATCAGTTATACACAGCTCCTTTTAACGCAACAAACTCCATCTAACACCTTCAGATTTGTCACTCAATTTTGCACACATCCTGTTTGTGAAGCTTAGGCAAACTCTTCCTTTGTTTACCTCCGTCTTTCTCGCTCCAGGCCTGTGGGGTGGATTTTGAGATCAGGGCTTTCTGTGCCAAATCGATGGAAGACAAGAATCACAAAAGGTTTGATTCTCTGCAGTTTCTCGCAATTGTGTTTTTTTGTTTATGCCACAAAATAACAAAATAAAAAAGTTCATTGTGAATTCTTATCTTGCAGTTCAGACTTTATTTTCACAATTGAAAGTTTATCGTAATTACGAAATATCGTAATTGCAGGGTATAGATGACTTTTTTTCCCCTCAGAATTGCAATTCTTAATTTACATCTCACAATTGTTTTTTTTCTTCTGCCACGGAATAACAAAATAAAAAAGGTCTTTATGACTTTTTATCACAGTTGAGTGTTTATAACTCATAATTGCAAGGTATAAATTCATATTTGTGAGTTTACATCTTGAATTCCTCATTTTTTCTTCACAACTGTAACTTAACTTCTCAGAGTTTATACTAAGCAATTTTGAATTTTTCTTCAGATTTTGCATCTCGCAGTTCTGTTTTTTTTTTTTTTTTTGCCATGGAATAGCAAAATAAAAAAGGACTTTTCTGACTTTTTTCACACAACTGTGAGTTTATATCTTGTGCCGGAAACAAGCTTCCATAGTTTTCAGTGGAAGACATTTTAGAAAAGAAAGTTTAGATCTTATTTTAATATTATTTCTTCCTCAACAGGAATTCAGTGCGACTAGTGATTCGTAAAGTCCAGTACGCCCCTGAGAAAACCGGCCCACAGCCGATGGTGGAGACTACGAGGAGTTTCCTCATGTCAGACCGGTCTTTACACCTAGAGGCTTCGTTAGATAAAGAGGTAACACTGTTTAACACAGATCAGTGCTAGTTATAAATAATTAGCCTGTAATTAACTTTTATCTTCTCGCACAGCTGTATTACCATGGAGAACCCATCAGTGTTAACGTCCATGTTACCAATAATTCAACCAAGACTGTCAAGAGGGTTAAAATATCAGGTGAGTCACAGCCATCAGCCCATTTATTGTTGTTTTTAGTTTGACATGATTTTCATATCAGTCTCATCATCTATGATCTGTTTACATACTGTTTGCATTGTGTCTCTACAGTACGACAGTATGCTGATATCTGTCTCTTCAGTACAGCACAGTACAAATGTCCAGTGGCTCATATAGAGGCAGAGTAAGCATATTTTATTTAGACTGTATAGATGTTGGTGTTTTGAAATGATTATCTGAACTTTTAGTGGTCATTTATCCAAGATTTATGATTAAGATGTCTTTGGGATAACAAACCTGCCCAAAAGTGTCATGAAACATGACTTTCTAAAATGTCTATCCGTGTTCTGCAGTGATCAAGTGGCATCCAGCTCTACATTCTGTAAAGTGTACACACTCACACCCACTCTCAACAACAATCGAGAGAAGAGAGGGTTGGCGCTGGATGGAAAACTCAAACACGAGGACACCAACCTGGCGTCCAGTACTATGTGAGTATTACTGTACTTAACCAGCTCATGTTGCCCACATTCTCACTGGCTGGCTACTATGGAAAAATGAACGGATAAAGAGTATTTATTTTTTCTTATAAAATTATAATGTTGTAGAATTACAAACACGCTGTATGTTATTTACATATACAGGCATATATGCAAAACTCAGGTTAGTTAACCAAATGTGCACAAAATGAAAAGTTTCCTAAATTCTAAAGTAAATGACAGGTAAGAAATCAACAACCATTCAAATTAATTTTAAATGTTATAAATATTCTCACAAGACTGTATATATTTGATAAGATATACAATAAAAACAGTAATATTGTCAAATATCATTACTATTTTTAAAATGACTTTTTCAATTTTAAAAATATAATTTGGCATCATTCCACTCTTTACCGTGCGTTCACACTGCTGCCGATGAGAGCGGTGAAATTCGCTCTCGCCGTCTTGCCAACGACGCCGTGGAAAGATTAGTGGACGCTCTGATGCTCTGACGTTGATCGAAATGCGTGATCTTTTTTAAAACTGTATTTAAAGGGGCCGCAAAGCAAACAAGCATGTCAGTCGTTATTTTTGCAGAAAATTGATCGATGGAAATAACTTTAAAATTATAGTGACATGACATGTTTGCTAATGAAATAATAAACAAATTAAAAGCCATATGTGTGGCTTTTGTGTTCATGGTTAAGTGCTATTATGATTTGCATTCCCACTGAAAAAGTATTCTAGCACGAAAATCTTGCCTATAAATAGTGTTGCGTGCCCTCTTTACTTATTAAATTCAAATGATCAACCTCTATTTTGCTTGGGAACTAATGTGGCCGGAACCAAAGTTTACAGGACTGCGTTTTCTGGGATTCTCTCAAACGGAGCACTTCTACATTCCGATTGGTTGCCGCCGAACCGCGTCATTAGTTATTACCATAAAATTGATCTGACTTCATCTCTCCTCACCACTCTTGAGTCCAAGACGCGCCGCGCCACCCTCGCTGTACAGTTAGTGTCACATGATCCTTCAGAAATCATTCTAATATTCTGATTTGCTGCTCAAGGAACATTTCTTTTTCTCATCCGTGTTGAAAATGTGCTTAATGTTTTTGTGAAAACTGATTATCTGAAGTGCTAAAGAACAGTATTTATTTGAATTAGATTTTTTTGTACTGTCACTTTTGATCAATTTTATGCATCTTTGCAGAATACTTTTTTTTTTCAAAAGAAAATTCTTTCTGACCTCTTACCTTTGAGCAGTAGTGTACATGAAATCACACGACCCTATTCACTTTCTTAATACACTTCCTTGGTCTTTTTGTATACAATTCATCAGTCCTTTATTTCAAGGTAGTAGGTTTCATGTTGACTTGACTTGAAGAGTTGACTGACTGATTCTGCTTGTGTGTTTGACTGCAGAGTGAAGGATGTGAGTAATAAGGAAGTTCTGGGTGTCCTGGTGTCCTATCGGGTCAAAGTCAAACTGGTGGTCTCCCGTGGAGGGTGAGTCATGCGTCACACCTGCTTCCTCTCTACAGTCACACACCGGGGAGCATGGTCTGTAGTCCTCCACACTAAGACTGTTACATGTTGCTGCTGTTTTAGAAAAAAATAATAATCAATCAGTTTTTATCTCATATGTAGTTCATTGTGTAGGTTGACTAGTTTATTTAGCCTTTTTTTTCTTCTATAATTTTCTTGGTTTTGATATTTTCAGCGGAGGTGCTGTGCTTTAGCTGTTAAAGCTCTCTTCCAGGATGCTGTGCGAGCTTTATACTCCCTCCCTGATCTCTCGCCTCTCTGTGCTGCCTTGTTCTGGTTATTGAATCATTTTGTCACTCTCCCATTGTTTTATGTATCTCTCTCTGTCTGTTTCCTTCCCCTCCATCTGTCTGTCACGTCAGGCTTTTAAGCAGCTTGCTGGAGAGGTAAATACATCCATTGTGCATTCTGATGGCTTGCTGTAGTGTCTCTAGGTTTGCCATTAAAAAGGAGATCTGCATGGTGTTCAATGTTCTGCTCAGCTTGACCCTGGTGTTTCCTGTCTGATTTCGATAGTTCAAACACTAATCTCAACACACACACATGACACGCCATGAATGGATGAATCTCACTAAGAAATGCCTAGGTCATATTTTATATTACCTTTGAATCCAAAGAACTACATGTTGTAATATAAATAGCCTATTTTGGGCCACTGATGAACTGAAATTACACTGATCCAGTGTAGATTCAATTTTATTTTGTTTAATTATCGCATGATAATGTCACATGATCCTTCCGAATATTTTTTTTTTTTTCATGATTCTTGAATAGCATCTAATTGAAATAGAAATATTTGGTAACATAATGGATCAATTGAATGCATCCCTGCTGAATAAAAGTATTCTTTGCACATTACATATTAGTTTTGATTTTATAGTGAAACATGGCCCAGTCAGTTCTTAAGAGATTTGCCGTCTGAAGAGCTCTTCCACACTTCCAGTATGTCATGTAATGGCTGTGTTGGTTTTGTTTTATCTCTCTTTCATTCAGGGATGTTTCCGTGGAACTGCCTTTTGTCTTAATGCATCCAAAACCTACAGACTACACCCCTTTCCAGTCAAACTCTGGTTTGTGTCAAACACAAAACACCACATTGATTGCTCTGAACTAGGTTGTAACTGTCAAAGTAATAACACCTTCATTAATCATTTAATATTAATATTCTTTTTGTTTAACAGCTGCTCCAATGTTGGATCCACCGATTGACACCAACTTGATAGTGTTTGACACAAAGTAAGCAAGCATTTTTAATATCAATATCAACCTCAATGATCAGCTTTCCCTCTCGTTTTAAGCTTAGTTTTCCACTCTTTCTAACAGCAGTTTAACCCCAGATGACGACATCGTATTTGAGGACTTTGCTCGCTTGCGGTTAAAGGGAATAATCGACAAGGAGGAGGACTGCTGAATTTTTATCATCTCATTCACCAAGTATCTCTGGTCTCCCTAAGGGTGTAACATATAAATAATTATTTTAATCTCATAGCGATTCAAGCAGTATTTGGACATTTAATTGGAGGGGAAGAAAGGTTAATGACTTATTAATATAACTGTCTAAAGCTAAGGAGGGGATTCCAGGGAATGTCATACCTTTTTGAATAGGCATGTGATAATTATACTCTATTGTGCCAACTGTTATGTTATGAACAGCAAGCCAATCTGTAAAGATGGCTAAATTGCTCCATATTTATTCCTTTCACAAAAGACCGTCTTGATTTTTCCTGTGATCTGTGTACAATAATAACCCCCTGCGCATTACACAAAGATGGACACGGGCCATGCATGTCTCTCTGTGCTGCTGTGAGGATCATATGCGATTGAGCAAATATTGTCTTTCTGCAGGTTGTACATATATGAAAGCGCTGCTTTTAATTTGTTGGGCTACTGCATTTAGTAAAAAAAAGAAACAGGTAATGGATGTATAGAGATTTAACATCCCTCAGGAGTAAGGAAATTTGTTGTTTTAACAGTTTTCATAATCACAGGAGACACTGTTTGCCATTTTCTTTTAAATCTGTTTTTTATTTAATTTTTTTTAATAAAACAAATAAAATACAACATGGCTGCGTATTAAATTTGGGGTATTAAGAGTAAGCTTTTATAATGACTTTTGAATTCAACATTAGAAAATTTAAAGTTTTTGCTCTCACACTGCAAAAAAACAATAACAAATATATATATATATATATATTACGATTTTCTCTCAAACTTAAATCAAGGCATTTACAAGAGAAGCAAATATATATATCAAGTCTTGTTTAATGAACAATTAGTCAAAATAAAGTGAGTTTATGATTAAAGTCAATGGGGTCAGATTTTTTTCACTTTGAATTAAGATTATTTTTCATTCAAGACTTAATATCTTAAAATATTTTGCCTCTTAGATGTATCTTGATTTAAGAATGTTTAGATATTAGTACTGAAATACGACAAAAAATGGGAGGAGGTGGATAAAATCACCAGAAACATCATAAAATTCACATTCCTAGATAACAACGTTTGTTTCGAGAAGGAGGACGCTAAATGTTCGACTCAGTCGGTTTGATGTCTGAGCTGTTAGTGTTAGCTGCTACAAACGGTAGAGGGCGAGACCTTCCCCGATACCGCTTCTTCAGTCGACCAGCCAAACGGTGCCACCTAGTGGACGATATCATGTATTGCATGTCATTTATGAGTAAAAGCATTGAAGAAGCAATAATAACATATCACGGTATAACATTCACCTTTCTTGTGTTGCATTGTGCTTATTAATCCTCACGGCCTCCTGTTTTTTCTCCTCTAACCAGCGGTCTAGGAGTTCCTCCTTCTGGAGTTTTGTGGCAGCCATCTCCTCTGTCAGTTTGCTGTGCTCCCGTCTCAGTGCTGTCAGTTCCTTTGATTGACACTCCAGCTGATATTCATATTCCTCCAGATCTGACTTCAAACAGGAAGTCCCCTGGGCCAACAAAACCGCTTCGGTCCTGTAACGGGCAACTCTACAGCAGGAATACATGATATAAGCCTATTAGGACTGCTTGTCTTGATGACTTCATATTTTTTCGAGATGTGCTGTTTGACCTACTGTGAGTGACAGTACTGTAATTCTGCCTCCTTCAGGTATATATTGCTGGTCAGATCTGCGATTTTCTGCTTGAGCTTGAAAAAAAGACAGATGTGGAAGGGTATTCCATGGTTAGTAGTGAGAGACTGGTCTATCTCTCTCACACACACGCACATATGTATTATGTATGTAAAAGTTTGGAAACAAATACTATTTTTAATGTTTTTGAAAGAAGTCTCTTATGCTAATCAAGCCTGCATTTATTTAATCAAAAATATTGTGAAATAGTATTATAATTTAAAATAACAGTTCTATTTTTAATATACTTTTAAAATGTAATTTATGTGATCAAAGATTCATTTTCATGATTTATTATCAATGTTGGAAATCTGCTTAGGATTTTTCTATAAGCTATGATATTGTTTTCAGGATTCTTAAAAAGCATTTAAAATAGTTTTATAAAATATACACTTCTGTTCAAAAGTTTGGGGTCAGTATTCTTTTTTTTTATTAATACTTTTATTCAGCAAGGATGTGTTAAATTGATAAAAGCTGTTCTTTTTTACTTTTTATTCATCCTGAAAAAAAGTATCACTTCCAAAAATATATTAAGCAGCACTTAACTGTTTCCAACATTGACATTAGACTTTCTGAAGGATCATGCGACACTGAAGACTGGAGTAGTAATACTGAAAATTCAGTTTTGCATTACAGGGATAAATTATATTTTGAAATATATTCAAATAGAAAAGTTATTTTAAATTGTAATAATATTTCACAATATAATATATATATATATATATATATATACAGCCTTGATGAGCATAAAATACTTACATTACATACTAAAAAACATTAAAAATCTTTCCAATCTCAAACTTTTGAACGGCAATATATATATATATATATATATATATATATATATATATATATATATATATATATATATGTATATGTGTGTATATGTGTGTGTGTGTGTGTGTGTGTGTATATATGTATATATCAAGTCCTAGATAAAAAAAATCATAAATATTAAGCATAACAGAAACCTTAATAAAACTTAGAAATTACAATGTTATGCATACAATAGATCTGGTGGGGGATAAAATGAGAGTTTTAGCAATAAGGCAGTTTAGTGATGTTTATTGATATTTCTCTCACCTGTTGATTAAGAAATTCCACCTCATTCACTCTCAAATAAAGTGTGCCGTCTTCATTTGGGCACCTAGAATGTCCGTTTTCTTTGGAACTGAATCAACAGCACACACAAACATAGTAAATTACGATGTGTGTCAAGTACATACACCAGTATGCATAATGTAATTTATGTCAATAAGGCAAGAAATCAAATCAGTACAATAATAGTTGTCAAGTGTTGTTTTACCAGCCTTGCCAGAGTTTGACATGAAAGTCCAGCATCTCCTCCAGCCTGGACACTGTCAGAGCATCCAGTCATTACTGAAGTTTGTACTTATAGCTTGTTTATGTACATTTGACAGCATCTGTATTAAACTCACCCTTATCAAAGAGGCCAGAGAAAGGATCTTTCTGCTTGCAGTCTCTGTGAAACAACGCCGCGCGCACGTGACTCTTCCAAGACTCCATGTCTGCTCGAGCTCAGATGGACAATTCACCTATTTCTCACTGTTTCGAGTCTCTTCTAATGTGTAATTACAGCGTTTTTAACACTGAATATAGCTTGAAGCAATATACAACCAATTTCTGTGGAAGATTTTCTCCAGGTGTTGTACAAATCGCTTTAATTAGTAGTTAAACATTTCCAATAGTTTTTTCTATACGGTAAATCGGCAGATTTCGCGTTTCTGTAATGTTTTGTTCTTCTGCGGCTTCCGTACTTCCCGACGTACTGATATGCGAGTGCTTTGTTTATTAAAGTCAGTGGTTAAATATCTGGTCAAGGTAACTTTCATTGCTTAAATATACATGCAAGTGAGTAGACTAATATTATTATACAAACATACATTTCTGAAGTGGGCTTTTAATTTTTCAATAATTAAACTCGTTAACGTATGTGTGGTGTCTGTTGCATTTTAACAATTCGACTACATGCTCAGGTATGAGTTGAACGCGTGTCTTTTGTATGTTTGCGCTTTATATTTTTTCTGTATCCTGTAGGTTGTGTGCTCGGGATGGCTAATGACAGGCTTAGAGCGTTAGAAGATGTGGAGAAGGAGATCGCTTTAGTGCTGCAGAGCGCAGGTTTGTGTTAGACTTAAATCAGCTTAAAATAGTTTTCTAGTCTTCGCTGATTTAGGCCAACGTTAGTTCCCTTGTCTGGCCAAGCTGACTTTAGCTGGTTTAGCAAGACAAACTCCTTTAAACCTGCTTTATACTCAGAGTCAGTAAACTGACCAACTTGTTTAGCTTATATTAGCTGGCTTAGCTATAAAAAAAATAATTTAAACCTGATTTAAGACCAGCAAACTGACCAACTAGGTTAGACCTGGCGACTAGCAAACCAGCTTAGGAGTTTTGTAATTGTCATTATAAATATACATGTTTAACAGTGTTAGGATTTATTATTTTGTATATGTTTAATCTAACAGTTTGAATGGTACCAAATCTGTCTATCAGGAACTATTGTGCTGGAGCTTTCTAAAGAGAAGGCCAATGCCAGTTTATTAGACCGACAGCTGAATCAGTTCCAGACCTCCATCAACAGAGTTGAGAATGAACTGAGTGCACAGATCCGATATCTGACACAGGTGTGTTTGTGGGATCTATCTATCTAAAACAAATAGCATTGGAGAAAAACTTTGACTGCCTCTGATGCACTAACATTTTTTATTTCTTGTTTCTGAGTAAAGGTGGCAACAGGTCAGCCTCATGAGGGATCGACATACTCAGCCAGAAAGGACTGTCAAATGGCCTTAAACCGTGCAGAATATGCCCGTGTCAAACTGGGAGAGCTGGGACGTACTTGTGAGATAATGCTTGAACCACAGACGTAAAGACGTATTAAATGGACTGTTACTTTGTAATATTTGTCAGCTGACTTCATAAGTGTCTAATCGTTTGAAATATTGTATGACAAACCCAGTGATTTGCTTTGAATATCTTCCCTGTGTTGTAATGGCACCAAAGCTTTTGTCTTGTTGAGAAATGTTATATGTATGAGGAAACAACAACATTTTTTTTTCACTAGTATTTTATTGAAGGGAACATAAGACCTCTCCATTCTATTATCTTGTATTGTTCATCACAGTTGTGATAATATCAAGTTCACAGAACAAGGGTTGCAGGGTGTACATCAATACAATAATAGGCATTTATATTACCACACACACAAAGATTGGAAATCAAAAAATGTACACCATACACACACATTCAACATGAACACAAGCTACTAACATCAACCCATTGTTTTTAGTGTCTTATAGCTCATTGAAAAGAAGAAAACCATTAAAGGAATTTAACAACACATGACATGCATATATATGCACACAGCATGTATTTGTTCCTATTTACTGTATGTTGTGGACACTTTGTCTTCATTAGAATATCAATGTACCTAGTATTTAAAGATGAACTTCCAAATATATCAATTTCAGACAACATAACAAAGCAAAATCTCCTAGTTTCTTGAGAAGTCTTAAAAGTAAATAATTAGGAATAATTGGTGTTGAATTTGAAATGGTTTAGATTTATGTGACCATGTACTCCTGTCGCTTGTTAAGGCGAACCTGACACAGAGACACTGCGCCAACACCTACATAGATGGCAGCGGCAATGAAGCAGTTGATTCCAACTTGGTTGTAGAGTCCATAAATTGTCTGTGGTGGATTCTTACTGTTGAAGAGAAGATGCATTCATCAGTAAACATTTGCATCTGGAAATGTCAGTTCAGGATCTGCCAGTTCTCGTTCTACACAAGCAGCCTATTTGAAATGTAAGCCTTTATCATACTTATTATTTGATCAAAAATATAGTAAAAACATTAATATTGTTAAATATTCTTAACATTTAAAAATAACTTTTTTTATTTGAATATATATATTATAAATATAATGTATTCCTGTAATGGAAAAGCTGTATATTCTGCTGTCCAGTCTTCAGTGTCACATGATCCTTCAGAAATCATTCTAATATGATGATATGCTGCTCAAGAAATATTTCTTATTATCAGTGTTGTAAACAGTTGTGCTGCTTAATATTTTTGTGTAAACAGCTATTTTAATTTTTATACATTTATATCTATAGCTATCTGGAACATTATATTTAAAGATGGACTAAATTGAAGTAACTCACTCATCACGGATGTCTTCCTCAGTAAAGGGAACATCTTCGATCAGCACAGCAGATTTTGCACTGAAGAAGATTCCCAACATAGACTGAAAAAAGAGTGCATAGTTATTTAAAAACAAGGTTTGTTAAGAATATTTCATATTAAGACATTAGTTGGAATTAATTGTGGAAGAGCACCCATTTAGATATCTATCTATACACAAAGGCAAAAAAGGACAGAAAAAATGGTCAAGTAAAGGAGGCAAAGAAAGGCCTTTCCATCCTATGATACCAACACCTGCTGTTTTCTCCATATATTCTGCTGATAAATAGGTTACTGAACAGATATTGTTATGCAAACGTATAACTATTTTACGCATTTATCTTATCAGGGAAGATCCAAATACAGTAATATTTACTAATGTTACCAATATAGGCAAAATATCCCTGTCGTTGGGGGGTGAATCCCACATTAGCTACAACTCGCAAGCGATGTCACGAAGACTGTATAATCCTTACCAGCATAACGACACCCCAGATGCTTAACACGATCCCACAGGCGGCCAATTTGGGCCCACAGAATAAAAGCGACGGCATTTTATCTGAGTTCGCCCACAGATTCTTCCTCTCAAAACTGGAAAAAGGATGCTACATCCAGTCGTCATCCAGGATGACAGCCTGCCTCTAGCCTTCTCTCGAAACCAATCGACCGGATGTACATCGGGATTCGGCGGCACTCGGGTTTGTTCGACTAGTTCCGTAAGCTTATTCGCCACCACTCGGCTATTTTCGTACGTATGTTGCGCAGATCGTTTGAAATCATTTGATTGGCTAAGGGCCGACCAATTACACGCCTCGTTTTCGAAGCGCATTGTATTCTGGGAATTTTTAGTTCGAACTATTATGTTGCGTTCTTGCTTATTATAGATACTTTTTGATAGATATATGATAACGTTAGCATTATAATTTCGTACACAAGGTCGCTAAATGACTGCAGTGGTCATTTAAAACCGGTAGTTTCAGCTTTTCAGCGCCGCTGATTGAAACTCGACTAGATTGTGTTTTGAATTTGTGTCAGGTCTTTTTATTTCAGTTCATCACTCCAGCATGACTTCGGCCTCCACAAAGGTAAAAAACTTGCGTCGTACGGCATCAGAAATATTCGTAAGTAATTTATATTCAATAATAGTAACATATCGATGTCTATCAGGTGGGTGAGATCTTCTCGGCTGCAGGCTCGGCATTCTCTAAACTTGGCGAACTGACCATGCAGCTGCATCCAGTGGCTGACTCTTCTCCTGCAGGGTGAGATGCTGAAACTGCATCTGCGGTGTTTCAAATCTATTCTTGTCTTCTCTCCTGTTAAATAGTCTAATTAATTTTGTTCTATCGTTTAAGTATAGTCAATGTTTTATAAATGACCCATTTTCCCTTCTCTCAGAGCAAAATGGACCGACACTGAGATTGAGATGCTGCGATCTGCAGTTCGCCGCTTCGGTGAAGATTTGAACAGCATCAGCTCAGTCATAAAGGAGCGTACAGTGTAAGTGTGTATTACGTTATAGCTATACAATTGTTTTTTAAAAAGTTCTAATTCTATGAAATACAGTGTTTAAAAAAAGAATAAAGTAAATTACAGTCAAGAATATAAAAAGTTTTGAATAATTAAAAGTTTTAATGTTTTTAAAGTCTCATCAAGGCTGCATTTATTTGATCGATATATTAAACATTTAAAATAACTTTTTTTATTTTTATTTGAATATGTAATTTATTTATGTGATGCAAAGCTGATTTTCAGCATCAGTCTTAACTTCACTGTAACATGATTCTATTATGATGATTTAGTGTTGAATTATTGATTGTTTGAAATTTTATTTGCCATGAACCATTAATAATGGTTCTTAGTATTATTCATGTTAAAAACTTTTTGCTGCTTAATATTTTTGTCTTTAATAAATCTTTAATAAATAGAATGTTTAAAATGGTATTTATTTGAAATATAGATATTTTAACTACATGAACAGTCACATTATAAATGTCTTAACTGTCATTTGAAGTAATTAAATGCATCCTTGTTGAATTTTTATTAAATCTTACTCACCCCAAATGATTAAATGACAGTGTATCTGAATTTCAACAAAAAAATATGAAACAACCCCACTATTTTGAACATTTGATAATAATAAAAAAATGTTTCTTGTCAGAAAATAATCCTATTAGAATGATTTTGTGGATCCTGTGACACTGAAGACTGTATAATAATGATAATGTAATGTAATAATTGTGAATGATTAATGGGTAATAATGCTAAAAAATTCAGCTTTGCATCACAGGAGTAAATTACATTTTAAAATATTTATCAAAATGCTTAAAAATTGTGTATTTGTATTTCACAATATTAGTGTTTTTACTGTATTTTTGATTGAATAAATGCATAGTATTGCACCACAAATCTAGTCAAGTCACCTTTATTTTTATAGCGCTTTTTACAATACAGATATGACGTGAAAATAAACAACAGAGTTTGTTTCCAGAAGAAAATAGCATCACAGACCAGCTTAAGCTGATATTTAATTTATATATATATATATATATATATATATATATATCTGCTCTGGAGAAAACGTGACGTCATTGTTCACTTCTCATATAATTTTGTCAATGCAGGCAGATCAATAATATTGTTGAATATTAAATAAAATGTCCCCAACCACTCACTCTTTTTCCTTGTCTTCTTGTAGTGCCCAGATTAAGACCACAGTAAAGAGGAAGCTGTATGAGGACAGCAGGGTTCCTCTCACTGCAGAGTCACCTAAAAAAACTATGAAGAAAACCACAGTGTCGCTGGCACTGCCTCCTGCATCGGTGGCCCCAACTGGGATCACTGTTCCGACCACGCAGGTTGTTGTCACAACTGGATTGCAGAGTTCTTCATCTTTACAGCCAGCAATAAAAAACCCTAAACCAGCAGGTGACTCACTTTCTGAATACAAAGGATAAAAAAAATGAAAGCATATATCATTAACAATATCAGTTTACAAATGTGGTTATATTAATGCGCTGACTCTCTATTATCAGATGTGACTCTGAGTGCTCTCAATGACTCCGATGTGAACAGTGATTTGGTGGATATTGAGGGGCTAGGAGAGGGCTCCACTAAAAAACCGAACTTCGACCAAGGTGAGTCCCATTTTAAATGCATTGAAAGGGATGATTACCCAAAAATGACATTGACATCATTTATTCACCCTTGTTTAGTTCCAAACCCCTTTATGGTGCTTTTGCCTCAGTTTTAAAGTTTGAAAACCTAATTTCCATTGAATGTTATTCTTACAGAAGAAAGTCATACAGCTTTGGAAAGAATAGAGGGTTGAATAAATTTTTATTTTTTTTATTTTTTGGGTAAATGATTCCTTTAAAGGTGAAGTGTGTATTTTAACACTATGAAAAGAATCCAGTCAAATGTGTTTTCAAATACCTCGGGAAGTGGTAGAAAGTGGGCAAGCTCAAAACGGTTTAGACCCCATTTACACCTGTATTTTGTGTCGTCCACTTGTGATCCGATCGACCAAAACAGAACGGATAGTTCACCCAAAAATGAAAATTCTGTCGGTATTTACTCACCCTCATGTTGTTCCAACCCCGTAAGACCTTCGTTCATTTTTGGAACACGAATTAAGATATTTTTGATGAAATCTGAGAGCTGGATCACTCCTACATACTAGTCCATAGGCTTCTTGAGGGATTGAAACTTGCCAGCCTCGAAAAATTATTAAAGACATCGTTAAAATAGTCCAAGTGACTACAGTGGCTTTTATCGAATGAAAAAGTGTTCTCGTCATCAAAAGACAAAAAAAAAAAAAATGTTTTGTTCAATATTTCAACTATTCATGTCCTTCTCTCTGGGCCTAGTCAGGTTACTAGTTTAACAGCGTATGATCTGTTGTTGTACGTCACACGCATCACACACATGACCAGCATCGGCCAATAGTGAGCCTACGTGTGCCATAGCTCTACGCAATTACACTACGTTAACTGACTAGAGGCGCAAAGAGAAGGAAGTGAATAGTTGAAATAAAATCATTATTTATGTTTGTTTTTGCACACAAAAAGTATTCTCGGAACAACATGAGGGTGAGTAAATACTGACAGAATTTTAATTTTTGGGTGAACTATCCCTTTAATACCAGGTGGAAACCGAGCTATTAGACAATGAACAATAAACTGGGCTAATATTATGTATTATGACATTAAAAAACTTGCATCATCATCTTTAACAAGTGGAAAAGTGTGTTGACGCTTTTCTTTTCCTTTTTTTTCTGTCAGAGAACTTGAATTTGGACTCCAGTCTAATAATGAACTCCAGTGATTTGCCCCTGCTGTCCCGCTGATTTTCATTGGTCAATCAAAGTGATATTCAGGGCAACAGGGACAAAGATTATTAAGGACAACACATGTAAAGATTCTGCGGTTTGATCGTGATATAAACAGAATGGTGAAAGCAACAGTTGGCACCTTATACCTTTTCCACTGTGGGTCCAAATTACGCTAGACCAAATCTCTACTACATCACCAACCATTCTCGACCCATTTCAGTGAAGAAGTACGAGTATAAAAGTAGGTTTTTTTTCTTTTTATCTAATGTAAAGGAATCTAATGGAAGATGGAAAATGTTTTTTGTGGTTCATGTTGTGTGATCTGCTTTACCCGCAGTTGAAAAAGGGTTTACAGGTGGTGTCAAACTACTTTTTTGTATTTTAATAGGCCCTTTTTACTAAAGTAATCTTTGTGAAGTGACATATGATGCTGACTGTAATGTAAAAGTTTCAGCATGCAATCAAAAATAGAATTGTACCATTTTTTTCACGGTCACTGTATGCTAGGTGCAGCTTCTATTGTATGTATATATTATTTTAACATTATTAAATGGGTCATTTCAACAGAACACACAAGACATACCTGTTTAAATATTATATGAACTAATCAGCTTGACGTACAACGTCTTAGCTCAGCATCTAAGACAACATGCAAATCAATAAAATGAGTTTTTATTAGGATCTTCTTCATATTTAGAATATATAGTATCATATACATTTCATTTAATGATAAATGATATTTCTTCTCTGATAATTGGACATTCATCTTGGGTGATAGGGAATAAATGTACTTTTGCTACTTATACGTCAAAAATATCCATCTTTCTCTTAATTTTTTTTTCTGCCTTTTAGAATATATTTACAACTTGAACAACTGATCATCAAAATCTATCGGCTTTGGCATTCCTTTACATAGTTTTTCGTGTGCTCACAATCCATTTAGTAACAGCACTCAATCATTTGAGGAAAAAAAAAAAAAGACAAATCATGACCATCTCTGACACAGACACAACAGATCTTATGGCAAATCCGAAAAAATAAAATAATAGACATTGTACATATTTTAGGTAATAGAGGGAAATTAATAAAAAACGGATTCAGAACAAACATATCTCAAGTCTTCCCTTCAGTTTCTTGATAAATACATGAAACTGATTATCCCGGTGAATGTGACAAATACTAATTCCAGCAATAGTAATGCATATTGCACATTTGTAATCACTTTTAAAAGACCCATATACATTGGCATCAATCTTTGAAATGTCAACGACCTCGACTGGAAATTGCAAAATTACAAACAGTGCAAGTAACTTTGGAATTAAAACTTCAAGACTCAAAACCTGTAAGGCATTGTCATTACTGCGAATTAAAAACTAAATGAGTAAAAATACAAGGCAATGATTTTATAGCGAAGAATGAGCCATATTCCTCCTGATATGTGAATATGGAAACAGAGGAACAGCTTAGAATGTCTGACGTGCAGCTTTACAGACCAACAAGCTGCCGGTGACAATAAAATAAAGACTTTGGGAATCAAGAATGTAACATATATCTTTACATTGTTATTATTTGTACTGCAACCAGGGCCTTTACACATCCATAAATAACAATACAACAGACGCCACAAGCAACATAATTTGCATAACGTTGTGAAGTATCATAGGACACTTGTTTTAGGAGGGCTTCCAGTTCAATTAACTGCAGCATGTGACTTTTTTTGGATAATATAATCATTTTCAACAAGCCTTATAAAATATCCAGCTCAAACACCAGAACTAAAGACACGATCCAGAGCTACTGCACCTGATACTTGCAGATACACAAAAAGTAGATCAACTTAAAAGCTAGAGGAGAGTAAAAAAACGAGTTAAATCCATCTTGTGAAGAGCACACTACGACTAAACACTCAGGACAGACTGTTCTCGACTCAAAGAACTGAATGTTTCCCAAGTGAAATGATTCAAACAAATAAACCCGATGCTTTACAATAAAAGTAAAAATGATCCCACTCATGTAACAGCAACTTTGATATCTAACACTGTGCAAATAGTACAAGAGGAAGAGTATGATATCCGCTGAAACTGTGATTGTATCAATGAAGCTTTATGTGTTTAGTAATACACTCAAACCCTAATTTTGTGTACACAATTCACAACTAAAGGGTCTCGTTTAGGGTTTCATGATGGAAAAACAGATTTAAAAGCATCTTGCCTCAGACGGGATACATTCTCAGGCTCTAGGTCAGTTTACAATGTGGACTTTTCACTGAAAGTGCTTTGCCTATATTCCAACACTAGGTTCTAGACGCGATGTTAGACGTCTAGTCTTTACAGTACTTGTTTTAAGTAAGCGTTAAGAGAAGAAAAATGTGGGAGTTGCCTGAATGCGCTGGTCTCATTTCAAATGATTTAAAGAATATTTTTCAAACTTAAAAAGTTCAGTCTGAGCTAAACGCTATATGGAAAAATAAACATATTTACAGATATCAGACCCCTTGGATAAACTGGGGAACAAAAGAAACCAAAATAATATTCGATTATTCACATATTTATACACATTTATACAAAAAGTTGACCTCTACGGCCAACCGATTTTAATACTCTCTATCCTTATTCATTTTGTCAATGGATTCTGGAAATTTTCCCAGACTGTTGGACCCCATTAATGGAAGCTGAAGATGTACCAAAATACAAAAGTGTTTTGCCACAACATAAGGAAAGCAAAGAAGAGCAAAACTGGTCTGTACACTGAGGAATGGGTCGTTGTGTCCAGATTCACCACTTTGATTGCAGTGTGTTATTGCAGATACTATTTCAGATATACAACGCACTATTCTGTAGGCACAGAAGATCCATAATTATTCACAAATTGCATGATAGCCTGCAGCGTCCATGTTGTCATGTCAGAAACATCCTTGTCTTCATATATTGCATCTTGATTTCCTCTAAAATCAAAGTCACAACTTGGACGAATTTCCTTCAGAAGTGATTCAGCTGAAAGACTCATCAAAGCACCAAAATAAGAAGAAGGAAAACAGGGAGAGAACTTAATGTTGACGTTTGGTCTTCATTTAACAACACCTTGAGTCCAAATCTCTGGACTCTGGTGTGATGAATACTGAGGTTTAGATGCTGGGGTGGTGTGAGGTGAAGGGGGGCGGGGGGGAGAGGGACAGGGGGCTGGCCGGGGTGTTTGAACCGACGGGGGCGGTCCCAGAGGAAGAGTCCACTGACTGGGAAACACTGTATGTGTGAAGAGAGCCATTAAGCACTGAAGTTGGTACTCATGAGGCATGAGATTCTGTTCAGTTTATTATTGAAGCATCTTTACAGAACTCACCTGACTGTGTAACTGGTTATGTGAGCAGGGTCTGTGACTCCAGCAACAAAGAGCTTTTTAGGCGGACCGTCCGATTCCACGCCACCTGAATGGAGAAGAGGAAAAAAAATAAATAGACTGAAAATGTAATGACAACTAAATCTATTAATAATAAGAAGCCCCAAATGAAGAACCATGTGACACCGAAGACTGGATTAATGATGCTGAAAAGTCAGCATTGCATCACAGGAATAAATTACATATTTAAGCTGGTAATATTGTAATAATATTTCATAATATAACTGTTTTACTGTGTTTTTTTGTATTAAATAAATGCAGCCTTAAATGAGCATAAGAGACTTCTTTAAAAACATTTAAAAATCGTTCCGACCCCAAACTTCTAAATGATGCTTTAGTTACTCCATGCAAAGAAAATGTTACTAATAAAACATTCAAAAGTTCTTTCTCTATATTCATTAGATCTGATAACAGATTAAAATGTTCTTTTGCAAATGCCTTTTAGAAACGACAGATTGTAATTCAGAATATTACTACCTTTCCTTTTCAAAGGTGCAACCGATGGCCATCTCACTCCAGAGCTCACAGATCCTCTGTTCGATCAAAAACACATCAAAAACTTGGTTCAGAACGGATATTTCTATATCTTACATTTTGAAATTAATAAATATGAGACCACATTCGGAAAAACAATCCTAGTAGTTTCGACTTCTGAAGGATATACGTTCTAATACTGTGGTTTTGTTCACAAACTTACCCTCGAAACCTTCGAGTTGGACTGGGTGAGGAATTAGGAGTGACACCGCTGTCCTGGGAATGGAATCCCTGTGTGGGACATACAGAGAGAGATGACTAAAAAGAATGACAACGGATAGACACTGATAACCCTGAATAGAGTGAAATACTCACTGGAGACAGATGGCCATGCCAATGACTCGCAGGAGGGAGGGGAACAGCAGATGAGGCACTAAGATGAGGGGGCACAAAATCAGTTAAAAAGATATTTTGATAATAAACTGTTCACTTATGTATATCTAGCTACCTTAGTCTCTGTAAACTCCCTCTCAAAGTGAGCTCCATGTTCTCAATCTGGAAGAAAAGCATTGTACAATAAAACCTCACTTGATTGAATATTTCTCATGCAGTAAAAAACTACCAATGCTTATGTTTTATTACGTCAAAAAACATGCCAGTTTTATAAAGTCTGGGCCCCATATCTGAACTATTTGGAAACTTATCTTCGCCTTATTACTTTAAAAGGAATATTGCAATTGTATAACTCTCAGGTAATTGAATCCTGGTCCTCTTCAGCACCTTTTTGAAATATTTTGAGATATTTTTAATATCTTTCTGTTTTATATGCAAATCTGAGCTATTGGTGTTCCTTTATTTTTATTCTATTTTTTTATTGTATTTTTAAAAGTTTTTTAAGTTTTAAAGCTAGGGTATATGATTTCAAAGATTGTTCATTATTAATATCCTTGCTTATATGCTTGTTATGGTTATATAGTACAATCCTAACAATATAAATAGAAAAAAGAATGAAAAAAAAAAATCCATTCACTCTATTGGCTGTACAGCCGCAGAAAGTTTACCAATGTAAGTTGTCCAGCTGGACAGCTTACAATGGTCAATTGCTCTCATCCAATCACCAGCTCCACTTGAAACTCCGCCTCGCGCTTGCGTCTCCAACCCAACCGCACCCGACCCCGCCCCCTCCTTGCGCGAGCAAACAGCTGACAAACTGTATGGTAGCTAGCTAAGTAGCGTCAGATCAGCAATGGCTAAAGCAATGGATAAAAATATAAACGACAGCAGCAAGCGGCCCCTGCTTGCACCACTGTAAAGTTTGGACGAAAGAGAAAGTATGTAGAGGAAAGAGCAGAGATAGAAAAATGTAACGCCGGACTCTAAGTAGGATAAATATAGGGTCCACTTTGACCGTTGGAGGAAGCTTCAGGGAGATCTGGGACTGAAAACCGACGCTGACACGGGCACGGCTGACTTTTTGTTGAGCAGGTAAACATTTATTTATACTTTTATGGTGTGACGTGTTACATAAATAGCTTTTTATCAGTTTGACAACTTGCTCATGCTGCCGGTCGAATCCGATCATTCAGACTGAGGCATATGTCCTGATATGTGAATAGGATTTCAAACCACATATGGGTGTAGCTTGAAACGGATTTCATGTGCTTTTTGGGCTGGCAATCTGAATGTAGCCTATGTCGGGATAAGAAATTGAAGGAAGAATTGCAGTACGGGCTAGAGAAGCTAGCTCATTCCGACCTTTAACTTTACCACATATTAACTTTAGTTTGTCAAAACATTGCGCTCTCTCCTGCTTGATATGTCTTTTTCTATATGATTTCGCACCTACCGCGGGTTTTTTCTGTTTTTTTTTTTTAGTGTAACAATGTGTTCAGTAGTACATTAACAGTGCAGTCCATGCTGTTGTTTACATTCGAGTGCCTCCATAATGGCCGCTCATCCGGGTTACCGCCCAGAACGTGACGTCGGTGATAACCCTCTATGGTCGGTGGTGGGGAGTTAAGAACATTTCATGTGTTGCTAATCTTGCATTATCGATTCTTTAGTTCTCACCTGTCTCTTGTGTTCGGATCTCTCACATGACAGGGAGAACGGGGACAATGGGAGGGTCTGCAACACAAATATAATATTTTATTTACTTCTTCGAAGTTTAAAAAATATATAAATGTCCAAAACTGATATTCACAGACCATCTGAACACTCACCCGAGAGGGAAAGCTCGGATTTACAGACACACTGCTCCGACGATACCGAGCCGAACTATTGGAGCTAAACACTGTCGTCCCATCACTGAAAAGTTGGACATTTCAAAGAATACATTTGTTTTATACATTGTTTGCAGTGTTTATTACTTTTTAAACATCATGGCCCGGTTTCACAGACTTTCACAGGGTCTAAACCAGGATCAGGCCTTTGGTCAATTAAGGCATTTAAGTAGTTTTTACAGTAAAACGTGCCATAGAAAAAAAACATTACTGGTGTGAATCTTAAGACAAAACAATGTTGTTTTCAGTTAAAACAGCTCAAACATGCATTTTAGTCTGAGCCTCGGGTGAAACCGGGTAAATATATTCTGTTGCATTCTCTCAGCTATAAGTGCAATTCCCTCACCTAACATTCGTGATCATGGGGGCGCTGTTCGACCTTCGGAGGGCTCCTCCTGCGCCTGCGCACTGGTCCACCTCCATCCTCTCCATAGCTCGTCCTCTGGCACCGAGGCTGTGCGTCACTCACGGCCGGGCTGAACGCCCCCTGAAGCGGCCAGAGCACCAACTCTCCCCCGGCAAAAGCCCGACCAGCAGGCCTCACGCCAAAATACCCGATCCAATTTAACTGGTTGACTGCTTTCCCGTGTCTATCGCATTTTGTTGAAGTTTAAAATGAAACACTGTCAGCTTTGTACAGTAATGTGACGACCAGCTGTGAGCTCGCGCTACAGCTTGTTTATCGGTTCGCAAACAAACTTGGTATAAACTCCTCAGGTTGATTTCGTCGGCGTAAACATGAAGCTTGTACAGTTATTCGTGTGCATTAAGGAGATTTTTTCCTATTCAGACCATAAGATTAGTACATTCAGCGCTATGTTCAATGCACAGCCAATAACTCGACAAGGTCCTTTGGCTTTTTAATCCAATCCAACTTATCCAAACAGAGTAAATAAAACAGCGAAAAGCGCAAACAGCACATAAGCGAAATGAAGACAGATCAAAGTAGTCCAAAAATAAGCTTTCTGGTGTTTGCGGTCAAATGTCGTGATAAAGGTGAAGCTTTATGCCACGGCTTATTTATCAAGTTTACCTGCTAGTTTTTTAAGCAGTCGGAAAAATGACTTAACAAAATCCTGATCAAACATGTGATCGTCGGTGAAAGCGTCCTCATCTGAAAGTGTCTACTGGTACAGTCCGAAACACGGGATACATTAAAAAGTTTTCCAGTCATTTCTTAATTTAGAAAATAAAACATATATTTCCCGCAACCAAATAGAGATTGTGCGCCCCCCTGTGCAACAGCGCCTGGCTCTGGTAGACAAGAGAACTGCACATAGAGATAAAGCACTGTGCTCAAGAGAAGTGAATATGTGGCTTGCTGCATATTCTTTTGCCAATTACTCTGGCCTTGTTGCAAGAGTTTGCATATCAGATAAATAGTTTTTTTTACTTTAAATTAATAAGATTAATGAGACATTTAAGTTTTTTTCAATGAGGATTAATCCAAAAGAATCAACTTGGTTGACTGTAGTAAAATTTTAATACATCAGTCATGCTCTACAAAACTGTATTTAAACTGTATTAAAGTTAAATTAAGTTTTTGGTGTAAGTAAATAGTACTATTTTGAAATACGAATTCATTTGTTAACATTAGTAATTGCATTAGGTAGCCTATTGTGAACTTTTTTGCAAAATATTTTCCACATTATTTATTAATTTTGGTTAATGCTGATTTGTAAATGTGCTATTGTTCATTCATGTTTATACATAATATATTAGTACTAATGTTAACAAATGAAATCAACAATCAACAAAATAGTACTATTTGTTGTACAAAAGCCTAATTTAACTTTAATACAGTTTGAATGCAGTTTGTAGAGCATTACTGATGTACTATGACAGTCACCCCCAAGGTGATCCTTTTGGATTAATCTTCAATTAAAATAACATTAAAAGTCTCATTAATCGTATTGATTTAAAAATTATCTGATATGCAATCTCTTGCAACAAGGTCAGAATAATTGGCAAAATAATATGCAGCAAGCCACATATTCACTTCTCTTGAGCACAGTGCTTTATCTCTGTGTGCAGTTCTCTTATCTACCAGAGCCAGGCGCTGTTGCACAAGAGGACGCACAATATTTGGTTGGGGGAAATATGTTTTATTTTCTAAATTAATAAATGACCGGAAAACTTTTAATGTGTTCCGTGTTTCGGACTGTATCTGTAGACACTTTCACATGAGTTCTTCTCATTTGAAAAAAGGATCACGTTCCTCATCACCGAAACCATCCTCATCTGAAATTATATACCATTCATAAAAAAATATCTGGTGTTGTTTCTTATGAATTGACAAATGCTGAGGAATTACAAATTCAAGCATAGATGAAGCATAATAAATTACACGGGATGAAAGTGTTTCAGCTTTTAAGGTTTCATTTAGACAAAGTGCATGTGTGATTCTATCTTTGACGTTCATTAAAATGCAGTTTTATTCACGCCAGGCCTTATATTTTAAAACACTAGGGATGTGCAATTCAACCGTTTCAGGATCTCTACAACAAACAGGACATGCCTTGCTGATAATGTTGGCGAATCAGTTTAATTGTCACAAGATGTAAATTAGTAACTTTTTACTTCCTGTTTGTTTTGTTTATTATTTTGGCCTGTTAACAGTACTTCAATTCTGGTCACTCAGCAATTAATAACTTATTGAGTGCTTAAGCAATGCCAATTTTATACTTTGATAAATTATTACTTTATTAATATTTACTGATTTTACATTTTTTACTCACCAAATATCCATCACAAAAAAAAAACACAAAAACATAATGTTTAAAAGAGGTGGCTGGTTATAACTGCTCGGTCGCATACTAGCATTAAACATGCTGTAATACTCAAGACTGTGTGAAATTACTCAGTAATATTAATGAAAAAAAAAAATGAAATCTGAAGCATGTAAAGTAGGTCTGTCCCTTTGTGCATTCCGAACCTCATTTATGTTATTCCGGATGATTTCGAGTCACTTTCCTGAGCTTCGGCTGCTTTATGTGAATTGCCTTGCTCTTGATCCTCAGCCTCTTTCTGTCCTCCAAGAATCTGTAAAGGCCAGAGAAGGTGGGTGTTATGACCGGCGTCGGACCGTCCACAGCAGGCTAAGCTTTTGTCTCCTGTTAAGAAATAAAGGAGCGCATTGAGCCACGAATTGCAGGAAGCCAGCGGCCGAGTTATCTTGTAGCAAATGGAAACCATCCGCATGGTTTGGCAATCGGCGGCCTTCGTTTCTTTGAGGACGAGGAAGAGCGTGCGTGTTATGTGGAAGGGCAGAAAACACAGTGCGAACAGGATGGTGATGGCGATGATGGTTTTGATGGACTTGCGACGCCTGTTGAGGTACGGTGCGTGCTGAGAGCCCGAGATGGACGCGGACGTCCTGTCCTTGACCCCTTCCACCCCACCACACATTCCCCCTTCCTCCTGCACCTGTGGCTGGGAATGTAGCGTCAGGAAAATGGTCCGCACCACCTGCGAATAGCACCACGCAATGACGATAAAAGGGAAAAAGAAGCCCAGAAGGTGCAGAACGATTCCGTAAGGCACGTATTCTGAAAACTCTGTGTCTATTGCGTCATCCCAACAGTTCCTGTATACCTCCACCTCGACTTTTCCAGCACCTTCCGACCAAGAATCGACTCCTTCATTCACTCCACCTCCGAGTTTCCTCAAAACATCCCCTGTTTTGGCAAACCGGACGATGGGGCACGTAAGTATGAACACTATGACCCAAACGGCAGCGCAAATGCCTCGAACGACCCGCTTGCTCTCCAAGGTGATGGTTCTAATCGGATGGCAGATGCCCATGTAGCGATGGACAGATATACAGGTGAGGAAGAAGATGCTGCAGTATAGGTTGAAGTAAAACAAGAAACGCACCAGCCTGCACATGAAGTCTCCGAAAACCCAGTGGTCACGCATCACGTAGCTAGCCACGAGGAACGGCAATGAGAAGCTGTACATCAGATCCGTGGAGGCCAGATTGACCATGTAGATCAGCGAAGTGTTCCACTGACGGCCACTCTTGCACCGGTAGGACCGCAGGAGGACGGTGGAGTTCAGGACGAGGCTGAGCAAGAAGGTCAAGGAGTAGCACAGAGGCAAGATGACATACTTGTAGGACTCGTCGATGCTACAGCTGTGCAGCGCGCTGTGGTTTCGAACATCTGCCTGCACGGATGCGTTGGAGACTGAAGCCGTGGTCTTCATGATCAGCTGTAACCACAAAGCCACATCACTGTCTTCTCTGGACCTCTTCAACTCAATCTAGAAGCACCACATCCTTCAACCTTGAGGATATCCTGTGAGGAGGACATCGCTCGAGATAGAGAAAACAGATGAACGTTACATATCTTTACAGTGATTGCTTTGTAAATCTGAACTTTCGTGTTTGCAGTCAAGCAAACTGCAGGTTGACCAATGACTCAGCCCTTCAACTTTCTCTGTCTATAATGCTGATTCGGCCTCTTCTGGTCTATTGCCCCATCAATCAGTAACAAACCGTTCCCTAAACCCTTCATTCATCTTTCCATCCCCCATTTTTTTGTGTCCCATGTATTAGACAAGTTGTTTTGCTTTGCAGTTTGACTTTGCACAAATTAGAGGTATCAGCACGCGCCACTTCCTGACCTAACTAACCTCGTTTGCAATGAAAACTGTGTTAAGATGCCTAATTTATGTCAAGACATGGCTGATGCATTCATCTATATGTATAGTACCTACATAACAAGAAGTACTAATGACAATGTCCATGTTTAGTTCATGAAATACGTGAGTTTGTTGCTTAATAAATATTCCTGTGTACTACGGAGGCAGCTTTGGTATTACAGTATCATGTGTTCTTGGAGGTATGTTCCAGTAAATAATTAATACTCATTCATTCAGACAAGAATCGCTGAGCGGAAACCCAATCCAGCATACAGTTCAACATAAAAGTGTGCATATCAATTATAAACACCATGATTTGAGAATTAAAAGTTTGAAAATGTAAACTAGAGAAATTTGAAAGTATTATTGAGATATATATATATATATGACTAGGTAATCTTTATTCATTTAAAGCAACTCCCACCCCACTGTTTTGTTTTGATAGATCTATATGAAATATCTTACCTGTTTAAAGGTCAGCGGAAAAAGGTAACTCCAATGTGCAGCCAAAATGCATTAATTTCTTCACGCATCTGATAAAAGGTCAGGACGAAAAGTTCAGTGCTGTGTATGTTTTGCTGCACTGCAACTACAGTCTCTGATTACAAATTACTTTGTCAATTTACTATCCAGATCTAACAAAATTTTACTAATCATGTCTCAATCAGTAATTCTTTGTGCTTCCTTCTTTTCTGTCTTGCCTCTTTGCCCTCTCTTGTTCGTTCTCTCTCTCTCTCTCTCTCTCTCTCTCTCTCTCACTCACTCACTGTGCTTGAATGGTCAATCAGATGAGCTGCATGCAGTTGATTAAATTTATGTTCAACACACAGGTTCATTATGCGAAACTGTAACACTTTACTTGAAGGAGTGTGCATAAGACTGACATTACACCTTCATAACCATGACATGTCTTGAATATTAAGTAGAGTTTATGCATGTTTATGACAACTGTCATTAAGTGTCTTTCGCTCAGTGATGACATTTTGAATGCAAATATGACAATGTTTGAGATGTCTTTGTTATGACATCTTGACATAAACCATAAAATCATAACCTGTCAGTGTATTTGTCATGACAACTTGACATAAAATAAAGTTAAACTGTCATGTGGTTGGCTTTGACATTTGCTGTCATGAGGCATTATAACTGTGTCATGAATATTTTTCGTTTTGTCATTAAAAAGTTATAATGGCTTCATGACAGCCAATGTCAAAACCAACCACATGGCAGTTTAATGTAATGTTAACCAATAAAGCTAGGTGGTTTCTTAAGTTTGATAATAAATCTGCTATGTCATGGTTATGACAGGTTGTGTTGTCTTAGTAATGTCAAGTTGTCATAACAAAGACATCTCAAACAATGTCATATTTGCATTAAAAATGGCATAACTGAGCGAATGATACTTGATGACAGTTGTCATAAACATGCATAAAAATTCCTTCATATTCATAACATATGTCGTGATGATTATGATGGTGTCATGTCAGTCTTATGCAGACCCCTTCAAGTAAAGTGTTACCTTTAAAGCTTACCAGGGCTAACCAAACCCGTACAAATTATTTTTACAATGTATAACAATGCAGCAGTTTCCAACTTGTTTTATGTACTCCCCTCAAACCTTTTCAGTAACACTGAAGTGGCCCATCATTCACATCAAACCATATATATATATATATATATATTGTGTGCATGTACACATACACACACACACACCCACATATATTTCATTAAAAACAAACTTAAAAAAAAGTTGAATCGATTATTTGTTCTAGGATACTTGAGGCACCTTAAAATGGTTATCGAGAGGTTCAACAAAAGGTTCTTTAAGTCTGATTAACCCCCAAACGGCTGTAAAGTCACCATATAATCAAAATTGATGATTCCTTTTTTTGTATTTATTATAAATGATTTATATCATTATGCACATAATTGTTTTTTTTTTTTTCAATTCATATGGTCTTTTTAGTCTTTAATCAAACTTACCCACCCTCTTGCAGTGACATCTCTTCTCTGATGATGTATTTATTGCCTTGAGGGTAGGACAACCTGTTACTCACATGAGATCGACCAATAGCAGACCACAACCATCAAATCAATTCCCGATGGGCAAAATCAAGCCCCGGCCTGAATTTATTCTTGTTTGAGAAGCTGTTTCACCTGTATATACATCACAATAGAGAAGAAAAGACTATCGCAACCTCCGTTTCACACCGACTTTAAGTATCACTTAATTTTTTGCAGAATATGTATAGCATAATTGTCATGATTCCACTACTTGCATTTCTAATTACACAAAAAGGCTGATGACTCTGTATAAAGTACAAAATAAATGATTTATTAAATTATTGTGAATATTTAGCACTGAGATATTCATTCTCATGTTTAAGTTTGATACACAGGAAAGTTGTAAGGCACATTCATATGACAGCATAATTCACACCATTTATATTCATATGACGATTACATACTGTTTTTCAATGGAATGCTTAATGTAACGGATGATTAATACATCACAGTTATTGATCGTATATGGCTTTAACAGCAGCTTGTTATATTCTCTATTTACAAATGCAAAACTAAATCATAAGTGATGGGACATGAATCAGAGCCATTAGGTTTTGTTAAGGCACTTTTTTTCACAATAAAACTTGTGACCATAATCAATGTGACTCACATTTTTTAGCAAAAGTTTCTTTGAGGGCTACATTTCTTCAAGAACAAACAGGATATTCTGGCTTGTTAGTCCACAGGATGAGTAACAGTAAATTAATGCTTTCAGAAAGTGCCAATGTTGAACTGCAGAATGCAGTTTTGTTGCAAACAAAAGTCATTCACAATGTCGTCATATCCTGTACATCCAGGAGAAGAGCGTCTTGCTTATTCCGAAGGTGGTCTCGTACTACAAGATGTTTCACCAGTTCTGAGCTCAAATCTAAAAGCACAAATCAAATTAGTGTATGAGTAAATATCAATGTCATTTTAAAGGTGCCAAACCATTTTGGATAAGTGTTTAAAGAAGCATGGAAATCATAACACATTTGTGAGCGGCATTTTTTATTTAAAATGTTGTACCCTTGAGGAAAAAGATACCTTGAATGTCTTCATTCAGTGAGGCCCTGAGCGCATTCAGCTGCAGTAAAGAGCATGTCTGCAGATCACTAAGGCTAAGAATCTTTCTCCTTATGTTCACGTTACTGCGGGTGACTTCTTGCTGAAATGAAAACAGAAATATGAAAATAATAAATACCAGAGAAATGAATGATCACAAAGGCAGTCGCACAAAAAAAATTCTTTTGAATTGAATCTGTCACTGGTGATTGTCGTTTGAACCTTTCTGGATCCACCATCAAATTGACTAGTTTATTATATGAAGTGCTGTGAGAAAAGGCTATAAATCTCCACCTCCAACATCCTCACACACAATATAGCTTAAACTAGCCGAGAACTCTTCTTCATGTGTACAGATGTGACGTAATGACCCAAAGAAAAAAATCTGGTACATTTCAAAATTTGCCAACCTCTTTTATTTAAACCTGGGAACATCTCAGTGTTTACCAGCTTCCTTAAAATAAGCCTTAGACAAGTGTTGTCAAAGGTCAAACTTAGGTGTTTTAAACATTTAAAAACATGAGGATACCAGCATTTCCCCTTAGCATTTTGAGCGGATTCTTAAACGCCTCTTATTGGCCATTGTGTTCACGCGTTCAACATATATGTCTGTGATGTGATAGATCAATCCTTCAAGGATTGAAAGATCAATCCTCAAAAAATCTCTTCACCGAGCGATTACACATGTATGCACGGGAGCATTTGAAACCAGGCACCTATCAGTGGATATATTAGGATCCGCTGCTAGACGCCTGCTTTAAAACGCTCCAGTGCGTACCTGTGTACGTGCTCGGTTATTCATTAAAATATTGATATTTGGCGCCAGCGTATCGATTATCGCATCGCATTAAGAAAGACACCAATATATCGCCCAAACGATATTTTGTCCCATCCCTAGGAACAAATACCATTTTTAAAATAGATTAAAATAGAAAACAGTAATTCAACATCGTAATAATGTTTCACAATAATACTGTTTTTTTATTGTAATTTTGATCAAATAAATGCAGCCTTGTTGAGTATAAGAGAAAGCATATTGATATATTATATAATTCAAGTGAAATTTTGTAATGTGACTCATACCAGAGCTGGTAGGTTTGGTACATGAAAAGATCTCTTTATTGAAGTTTTTTTTAAGAACATAAAAGAGAAAATTACTTCTGGAAACAAGGTCATTTTCCCATCATCATCTACTTATGTGATCCTGTCTAACTTTATACTGTGGAACACAAAAGTAGATATCTCAAATGATACTTTTATGGTGCTCTTGAATCAATTTTGAAACTTGAAAGCTTCAGTCCCCATTACAAGCTCCACTTTTAAAATATCACCTTTTGTGTTCCATGAATGACAGACAGACCTTACTCTTAGGTGAACTATATGCCTTTGAAACCCCTCACCTCTTTCTCTTTCTGTTCGGCCAATAGCTTGTCTCTGAGAGCCCTGAGAGCTGTTTTCACTTCCTGTTTTAGCCCCAGAGAGCAACTCCCACGTACCTCCGCCTCACATGAGCTCTGAGGATGACAAAAACCTAATGCTTTTTTGCAGCCTCTTAAATCATGACCTGAGATACAACTTAAAAAACTCAGGGAAACTACTATCACGACTATCTGCTCCCACCTCTTTGCTAGATGCTCCTTCGTCATCCTCCCCCTCGCTCTCGCTGTTGTTGATGAAACAGAGCTGAAGATTTTTAGGACTATTAAATCTGTTTCATGGAAACACACAGTGAACATTTGAATAGAAACATCAGAACAACACGTCTCAACATTATGAACCTGCTCATGTGTAATACCGTGATGTTATGACAGGAACACGGCAGGGACTGTAGTCGTTCTCATCGGTCCATGGCTCCCGGTGGAGTGAATGGTGTTTTGACCCTGTCCAGCATCCAAGTATTCTGTCTCGCTCTGATAAACCCAGACTCTAAAACACAAGGAGGTCAATAATGAGGTGATAATAATAAGAAATGTTTTACTGAATTTTAGGTCAAATAAATGCAGCAAACATCACAATTAATCCAAACTTGGTGTTATAATCTATACATATAAAGTCTAGATAAAATGTTACCTCTGCCTTTGTCCTCCTTTCCTCCTCCTGCCTTTCTAGCTCTGCAATTCGTAAACTTAAATCCTCCCACTGCATGATGGGTAGGTTGTGATCACCCAGGGGGGTCTCATCACTCTTCTGTTTGGTCCCCTGGCCAGAGGGTGAGGGGTCATCTGTGGTCCTCTCATAATGCCTGTCGCTGTCTGGATTCTCCTCCATCCGTTGGAGAGTTAAGCTAGTCCAACATAGACAGGCTAAAAGCACATCCATTTGCACATGCATTTAATGCCATGAAATGATTAATATAATTAAATAAAAAGAATTAAGATAATTTCCAAAACTTTCATAAAGCTAAATTATTTTGAAATATATCATATAGACATTCAGCACTGGTCAAAAGTATTTTCTTTTTATTGTTTTTGAAAAAAGTATTTTAAGCTTATCACGCCTGCATTTATTTGATTTGAAAATACTGAAAAAATCCAGTAATATTGTGAAATATTATTACCATTTAAAATAATGCTTTTCTTTTTTAATATATTTTCAAATTTATTTCTGTGATGCAAAGCATCATTACTCCAGTCTTCAGATAAATGTTCCTTCAGAAATCATTCTAAAATGCTGATTTATTATCAATGTTGGAAACTGTATAAATGGTACTGCACATTTATCTGTTATCCATGGGTAGGTTTTAGAGCCTAAAAAAGTTATTTTTAAAGCATATTTCTTTAAGATTTTAAACACCCTGTCAGAAAATCTTTCAGTGAAAAAGTTAGTTGTGGCAATTCAAGATTTAAAATGTACTATATTGTTAAAAAATTTGTTATTTTTGTTAAGTTGTTTTTGAAATTCTTTTATCACCTCAACACATTTCTTTGTTCAAAATATTGTGTTCTATCAGTAATATAGTGAAAATATTATTACAACTTAAAATAATGTTTTTATATTTTAGTATATTTAAAATAATTTATTCCAGTGGTGCAAAGAAGAATTTTCAGTGTCACATCATCCTTCTGAAATCATTCTAAAATGCTGATCTGCTGTTCAAGAAGCATTTCTTATTATCAATGTTGACAATAGTTGTGAAATATTAATATTTCTTAATATTTGTGAAAACTAAACATGTTATTAACGTTAGGCCTTTAAAATCATGCCTGAAGCAACAGGGTTGAAAGTTTTATAGAAAATGTGCAATTTTGCAATCAAACTGGGGCATATTTCCTAACACAGGAGAATTTGGAAACATGGCCGGGGACATGTCAAACTCCTTGAGGAGACAGGCTTGGAAAAATACATTTACCACATTTTTGTAAAGTTACGTATAGGCTATTAACACATAAAAGTTGGTATCTCTCTTTCATTGTTCGTGTCATTGTTACCATGCGAGACAAAATTAAGACACTAAAAAGGAAACCCATGCTACATTAAAATCCTTATTATTGTCAGAGAAACCAACTCAGCCCCATCACATCGAAGTGAAGCAGCTTTTCTGTTTGCTTCGTGACGCATGACTACGTGCATCTTTATAAACATCTTCAGGAGGTTTTTTTTTTCCTATCAATCATACACTTATACTTAATTTTACAACTGATGAAGTTGGATCGCTGCTGAGCCCCTCCAGTTCCTGTTTTTTTTTTTCTGAAAGATGTTGACATTATTCACTCACCTTTTATCGGCAAACTGATGTCGACATCGCGTCTGTCACCTAAACGTCAATATATCTACACATTTCGCACAGTTTAGTGAATTATTTCTCGCTACTTCAATGCTTCCTCTGCTGGAGAGGAAACACCCCTTTGGATTTGGCTTTCCACCCGCCCTCCGTCCGTGTTTCTTCTCCCGTTTTCTTAAACTGCAAGCTAACGGCGACTTTTTATCGATGTCGATCTTCTGAACTTGTGGAGTCAGTTGCTTCTGTTAAAGTTTGAATTGTGCGAATGTACTGTTGTAGTGACAGCTGGAAGTGCAGATAAGACTGTTTGGGAAGGGTTGAGAAAGTAGGTGTCCGATTTCACATGTTGGGAGATGAAGACCGCGAGCAGATGGGAAAGTCTGCGGGAATGTGTGTGTCGTGTTCACACTGCTGATGAAAGCTGTGATGCAATGCTTCAATTATGTATAAAATCACATCCCCTAAAACCCCAACATAAACTTCACATTGCATCTCTATGTAAATATTTAAACATTTCTGGAGGAGCACAGGGTTGTTGATTTGCCACGAGGGATGCAGTGTAGTGAACTAAAACATTCAAAAAACATAATATCAGACGTTTTATTTTGCAGGATCATAGCCTACAGAAAAAAAAATAACATGAAATTGAATGTTAAAAAATTCTTTAAAAGGTTTAAAATGACTCAAATGTAAAGTTGTGTTACCATTAAGGCTAGGCTATTCTACACTATTGACAAAATGGTTTCATATTTATAAGCTACTGACTTTTTACTGAAAGATTTTGAAAAAAATATTTATGCCAACATTTTTTTTCCTCTTTTGAGACCCATTTCTTTTTTTACAATCTCTGGTTACATGGACAGTGTTTATTGATGTGTTATCACCGTCATTGACCCATTTATGTAGGCCTAAACATGTAAGTGTATACGGGTTAGTGAAGGCAATGATCTACCCTAATGATCTTTTTTAGTTAGGAGCTATCAGTGTGTCTCCTGTATTACTTGTGGAGTTCCTACGTTTGTATACTGACTTTAAAACAAAAACACAACTAAATAGGCTACTAAGAAATGTTTACAGTCAAATATTTCAATTAAACTTCAGTCAATGCTAATATTTTATTTCAATTTGTTATGCTAATAATAAAAATGGATATAGATTTAGACATTCTATACATACACTCAGTCATGGCCACTTCACTAGGTACACCTTGTTAGTACTGGATTGGGCCCTGGCTTTTGCCTTCAGAACTGCCGTAATTCTTGGATTTTGGTCCATATTGTCATGATAGCATCACGCAGCTGCTGCAGATTTGTCGACTGCACATCCACGAATCTCCCGTTCCACCATGTCCCAGGTTGTGGCGTTTAAACAATACTCAGTTGGTAATAAGTGGCCTAAAGTGTGGCAAGAAAATGTTCTTCACACCATCCCTAGCCTGAACTGTTATACAAGGCAGGAGCCTGTTTTCATGTTGTTTACACCAAATTCTGACCCTATCTGAATTTCACAGCAAAAATTGAGGCTAATCAGACTAACCAATCTTCTATTATCCAATTTTGGTGAGCCCGTGCGAATTGTAGCTTCAGTTTCCTGTTCTTAGCTGACACCCGGAGTGTGTTCTGCTGCTGTAGCCCGCCTGCTTTAAAGTTCAAAGTGTTGTGCATTCCGAGATGCTCTTCTACAGACCTCGGCTGTATTGAGTGGTTTTTGAGTTACTTCATATCAACTCGAATCAGGCCATTCTCCTCTGAGTCTGGCATCAACAAGGCATTTTCGCCCACAGACCTGCCACTCACTGGATAATTTCTCTTTTTCAGGCCATTCTCTGTAAACCCTAGATGGTTGTGCGTGACAATCCCAGTAGTTCAGCAAAAAGTAGTTTTTGAAGTACCAAAACCAGCACATTTGATACCAACAACCATGCCTCATTCAATCACTTAAATCACCTTTCTTCCCCATTCTGATGTTCAACCTAAATGCATTTGATTGGTGGTAGTAGTTAATGGGCTTTATGCCCAGCTGCAGTACTTCCTGAACTTCAGCCAGCTCCTTGTTTCCTGTCTGCAGTTATTGGCCAAATGGGCTCTATGCACGGCGTTATTTCCGGTGAAGCATTAGGGATGCTCGATAACTTCCGCCGATCATAGAGTCCAATGCAATACCGAGAATTTATATTGAATTTTATACTCCATGGTTATACTAATGAAACGTTAGTCACAAAAACAGATAAAACAGACACCCCTCGTTGTGTTTATGCTTCTTTTTAAAATTATATTAAATAAACATAACTATATATAAAATTACATCTAAACGTATGTACGTTTCGTTTCAAAGACGGGAGGACAGTAAATATTGAAGACTCTGCCATAATCCCGTTTTCTCCGGTTTTCCTCCGCTTTAATCTACACAACCGGAAATGGTCGAGCATCCTTACGTCAAATGCGGAACTTATGCGTGCATATAGCCCATTGATTAATCCAAGTGTGCCTGACCTCAGTTGTCATGGCAACAATAATCAGACACACCTGAATTAATCAATTTGGCCAATAATGGCAGACAGGAAACAAGAAGCTGGCTGAAGTTCAGGAAGTAGTGCAGCTGGGCATAAAGCCCATTAGATAAAATTAACTTTGATCTTTGTATAATTAATAATCTTTAAGAGAATTTTCTTCCTTCAGTATTTTTCCTACAAAAAGAAAGCATCACAGGTATGACAGGAAAACTGTGTAATTCGATTCATTTCCCTCAAACTCTAGCTAAACTCAATCAGTCTGTTCTAGCGAAGCTTCCAAAAGCTCCCACTGTGTGGCATCAATGAGCCTATAGTTGATCTGTCTGTATTTGTGTGGGTCTTTCTTCCTCTGTCTGCCCACCTCTTCATATAGACTCTGAAACACTGGCTGAGGGGGTGTGAATCTTGCCGACCTGGCCAGATCACGATAATAATCCCACTGATCCTTGTCCAAATGGAGCAGGTGCTTAACCTGCACACCTGTGTCTAGTTTTTTTTTAGTCTCTCTCTGCACCTCTTTCTCCATCTCTGCCTGGGTGGGCAGCTTTACCGAGCCCTCCAGAACAGCTAGAGCAAATCGAACCTATGGATAAAAATGATAATGTTGCAGTGAGAATGATTCACATGCACTATTCAAACAGAAATCAAACCATCCAGTTTTTTTCTCTCTGCTCACCTGACAGTCAAAATGAATGAAAGGGCAAATAATTTTGCAAATGCCAATAAAAAACATTGACGGGAAGCCAGGGGGCAGCAAATACTTGTAGAGCGGGGTCACAAAAAGTTCCTGTACGTCCAGGCCTAGCTCTGATGGACAAAGGAAAGGGAAGTTAAAGTTGTATCCAGTGCAGAACAGAAGAATATCAGCCTGGGTAACTGATCCATCCTGGAACTGTAAAGATCCATTCTCCAAGACCCCAACAACAGAGGTAGCCTGCTGAATACCCAAAGGCAGGGGTAAGGACATAGTTGGTGTGCTATGACTTAGAATCACCTAAAATGAGAGAGAGAGAAAACAGTCACTCTACTCTCCATTTTTAGCAGAGAGGCCAGCTTCTCTTTTCACTAAGACCAATTCCAAGTGTTTAAGATTATACTCATATGGATAGGATGGACAAATCCAAAACAAAATTTGAGTTAAAGGGATATAGCAATCGTAAAATTGTTTTTATTAAAATGTATTTACCCTCAAGTTGGACCAAACCCATTTGTTTTTCTTTCTTTTGTGAAACTTAAAGGAGAAAAAGTAATGCTGATTTTTTTTTGGATGAAATAAAAATGCTCAGCGGGAAGGTTTAAAGTAGCGATGAAACCATGTTGTGACAGATCTTTTCTTTATTGTGACATACATTGAAGTGTAACAGATTTTCATAAAAATAATCTTTCTTATGCTGAAGCTGAACACAAAAGAGATAATGAGCCCCATTGACTTTCATAGCTCATTTGTCAATGGGCCCATCAACTGTTTGGTCTCTTTTGTGTTCAGCAGAAGAAAGAAATTCATACAGGTTTGGAACAACTTGAGGGTAAATGATGACAGAATTTTCTTTTTGGGGTGAACTGAAACATTAAATACTGCTCTGTATAGACCATTTCACAAGATGTAAACAACACTGGTCCAGAAGCACTTCCTGTTTCAGTTATTTAACACTACATAAAAGCTGGGATAAAATACAACCAACAGGACATTTAAAACTGAATCAAAAAGTTAAACAAACATCTTTAAGATGTTTTCTTTGCATTAGAAATAAAGAAAACAGTTACAAACTGAAACAGGAAGTGTTTCTGGACCAGTGTTGTTTACATCTTGTGAAATGGTCTATACTTTTATGACTTCAAACGACTTTGAATCAGAGTTATTAACTAAAACTAAAACCATAAAAAAATGTTGGTCCTTGAAATAAAACAAATGCATCTAAAATCTAAAATAAAATATAATATAAAAAAGAAAACTTTTATTTCAGCTAGTTGCCAAAGCAACATTTTTCATTTTCATTTAGTTAAACTTGAAGTACTAAAATAATTAATAAAATAACAAAAAATTATAAACATATTCAAAAAAAGAAACTAATAAAAATGACAAAAAATACTAAAAATTTTAATAAAATTTAATTGAAAACAGGAAATATAAAAATGTAAATATATAATAACACTACTTAAATGGACTGCTTTTGGTATTTTTTTGGAGCACAGCATTTGTCATCATTCAGAGCTGCACAAATTGACATCTTTTGTGTTCCACAGATAAAAAAAATAATTCTTCGGAGGATAATGACAGATTTTAATTTTTGGGAGAACAACTCTCTAATTCACAACCAAACAAAGCCATTTAAAATGTAATATTGTAAAAGAAAAAAGAAGTTAAGCCACAAACCCGAGCATTAACTTGGGCTAACTCAATGGAAATGTCCACACCAGATGCTCTGGCCCCCAAGACCACGACGGACTTGTTTGCGAAAGGCTCTGGATAGCGATAAGAGTGACTGTGTAAGACTTTCCCTGCAAAACAGCAGTGGAAAAAGGCAAAGATAAATGTAAGAAGATGAAAGACAGAGTGAGAAAGGGGAGATGCATGGGTGTAATGAGACTAATAGTTGGGGCTTTTAGGGTTATGCATTTGTAGTGATCAGTGATCATTTGTTGTACCTTCAAAATGCTCTATTCCAGGAATGTAGGGCAGGTGGGGGTCGGAGTAATGCCTGCAGAAAGAGGAAGGAAATATGAGTCAGCGCTGAGACGCTAAAGGGCTCCTGTGGTCTTCTGAATTCCCTCACACAAATGCCACATGAATGCATAACATAATACCCATTCCCATCACCTCTGAGAGAATTCAGCGAGATAAAAGCCTCAGGGAATATTATGG